TCAAATAAACATAATAAGTACTCAATTAAAGAAATAAACCCAAGGGTGCTAAACCTTCTCAACATATTGAAGCACAAAGAGTAAATATCGCATTCACTAAGACTCAAATCCACAACCTACCATATAGGAAACCTCCAATATGAGAGAGCGAGAGCAACTAGTGTCTGAGTCTCGAACTTACAACTTCTCATATGGGGAACCTATAAACCACACATGATAAATAAATCGTACTAGGAAAACTATGTGCAACGAACTCAACCAAGAGAGCATTGGCAAGAATAGAATTTGTGACATTCTAGAACAACAATTATTTTTCACCCACTTAATTACTCCATTTGAGACTGATTTCAAATATGTTAATATAACAATGACAAATTATTCTGTGGACTCAGGTCCACATTGCAAGGTGGACCCATGTCCAATTGTTCACAATTTAACTTTTAAAATTTCACAATTCGTATACCACGAACACACAAATATACAATGTTAACATACATGTAATTGATTATCTTGTTTTGTATTCATGAGTTCCTTTCAAATACTGCAGTCACACAATATTAAAATATTAAGATTTGATGACCATGTATTGTATTCACTAATTTCTTGTGTTTTAACTTAAAAACACAATTTATATTCTAGAAGTTCATAATTCCAATACTAAAAATATACAATTTATACATCGTTTAGAGCCAGAATCCACTTTACAGGTGAACCCTGATCCGGTATAACAACTCTATAACATCAATAGTTATGTTGTGCAACCGAATGCACCATGCACATGGTGCATACGATGCAAAACTACGTCATTGTGGATATATAGTTATGAATTTCTGGATATATAGTTATGAATTTCTGGATATTTAGTTCATTCATTGTGGATATTTAGTTCATTCATTGTAGATATTTACTTCATTCATTCACTGTAGATATATAGTTATGAATTTATGGATATATAGTTATGAATTTATGGATATTTAGTTCATTCATTGTGGATATTTAGTTCAATCATTGTGAATATTTAGTTCATTCATTGTGGATATTTGGTTCATTCATTATGGATTTTTACTTCATTCATTCACTGTGGATATATAGTTATGAATTTATGAATATATAAAAATGTTATTATCGAAAATCAAACATGATTTCTTCTTTAAGTGGAACGTGCGTTTTTTAACCAAAACGACGTCGTTTTACATCGAATGCACCATGCGCATGGTGCATTCGGTTGCACAGCATAATTTGCGCTATAACATTAGAGTCTCTTCTAAAAATGATAGTGAATTGCAAAGATAAGATACCCTAAGAAGATAATTGAGGAAAGTAAAATATGTGGAGGGCCTTAAAGTATGCTGAGAGGAAATAAAGTGAGAGAGACAACCCAAAAAGTTTTTAAAAAATTCTGAAGTAAATAATGGGAAATTGAAAACAGTACATAAAAGAGAGAAGTGAATGAATAGGATGTTTTTTGAGAGTCCCAATAATATGTATATATAATTGTGTCATATATATATATCTATATGTCTCGAGCCATGTGCCATTCCTCTCTCATCTCCCATCCGTTGACTCTCTCTCCCTCTCGCACTTTTATTCCGTCAGATGGAATGAATGTGTTGCTGTTGTTGGCCATGTCTCTTCTTTATCCCACCAAAATTATCATTAATTTCATCATCACTTAATAGGGTTAAGAGAGTGTTTGGTTGGGAAGATAAAATTAGAGAAGAAAAAAATTACTTAGTATAATTTATTAGAAAAAAATAATGTGAGAATAATGTAAAAATTTAAATTATATTGTTTGGTAAGGAGAAATTAAATTATTAAGGATGTAAAGAGTATATGTGATATATAAATTAAAATTTCATCTTGTAATAATAATAATAATCATCTCACCGAAAAGAAGTGTCTACAATTCAGCGATGAGATTAGTCAGTGTGTTCGACGGTGAAAATCCTGAGTACACCAAAATAATAATAATAATAATAATAATAATAATAATAATAATAATAAAAGAAAAAAATGTTGTTTTCATATCTTTTTTCTCTCTATGCTATGTTGAATTGAAATTCATATGCGAGGAGACATGAATTCCAATTCAACAAATGGATGGAATTACAACCCAACACTGTAATTTGAGTCTCAAAGAATTGTTTTGTAATTGCATTTCAATTATTACAACCAACCAAACACCCCATAAATGTTTAATTTGGTTGGGTATTTTGTTACATATTTCTATTTCATCATCACTTTATTTGTTAATATTACAGTATTACATATTGATCAAACCGAATGGTTCAAATGAAGACGGAATTAACTTCAAGAGTCCGATGTACTGGATAAATTTTACTCTAATATGTAATAGCGTGATAAGTATATATATCCTAGATTGTAGAGTAATGTTAAGTCGGGTCATATTTTACCTATTCGAGCATGATCCTTCATCTTTTTGTCTATAGTTGCATGAGAAGTTCTTGTATATACAACTGATTTGGTTTGGCATTTAGCTTGATAATTACAAAGTTTCAAGTTCAATACTGGGTGGGAGTTTGCTTATTAACCATCTCAGTTTGAGCCAATCAGTTATGAAAACATAAGGTCCTTGTTGGCTAAAATCGCAAAACAAATTTCACCCAGAGCAGAGTTTGCTCCCATTAGTGAGTCTGGCATAGTGGCATAAGATATACTCAAATCCATCCCCAACTAACCAAACCAACCCTGTGAATTTGGGGAGTATTATTAACTTATGGTATTTAATGACAGTGCATAAGTTAATTAATTTGTGTTGGCTGCAGGCAGCTCAAAAACAACTTTTATTTGGTTTGCATTAATGGGAGATCAGATCAGATGAGGGCATTGAATTGAATAAACTGTCTGTTCATAGAATGCTAGCTACAATCAATATATACTACATACTGCAAATAGCATAACTTTAGCTTTAAGGGCTTTTGAAACTTTTAGTTGCTACTTATTAATGATAGCATGTTTTGTTAGGCTACTAGTGATTGTTACCATTCACTATGCTACTATTAATAACTATTGCCAAACACCTGTCACTATTTGTCTTCTGGTTAGTTGATATTGAATAAGTATGCTTTTAAATGAATTATTGGGGTTGAAACAGTCTAATTAATCATTCCCCTAAACTTATCCTGGTAGAAAATGTAATGATGCAAGGGAATCTAACCCGCAGTTGAACCCAAGAAATCTAATAAGTCGCTCTCGTTGTAAGTCGAACTTATAACATTTAGATTACCAAGTGAACAACATGATCGATCAATTTGGCTAGGGTTGTCCCAGCAATCTGTTATCAATTTAAATAGTATGTATCGTTGTATTTGTTTATTATATCAATAAAAAAAAATGAAAGAAGTAAAGCTTTAAATAGGTTCCAAGTTTGACTCTTGGTCCAGTGGGAACGGTCTATTGATCTTCTTAGTTTGAGTCGGTCAGCTATGAGCAACTTAGACTGATTCACCTCCTTTTAGTCCTTTGTCGGTTAGAGTCACAATACGAGATTTTTCTCAGTGCATACTCTCGGGTAGTGGCTGGTTGGCTACTGGTATCCATCGTCACCCAAAAAGGAAAAGAAGTAGTAAAGCTTTAATTGATACGTAACTACGATATTCATGTAATTGTTCGCAAAGCAAGTATAAGAAAATAAATTTGCACATTCCCTATAAGTTATATATAACTTTTGATGTACTGATATGTGCATAGTGCTTACATAAATTTTTTATTTTTCATTTTTAAAAATTTATGACAACGTTAATGGTTTCAACACTGGAAAGTTACGAAGAGAATTGATAGTGAATTTAGATGATTGTATTGATGGTAATATTCCGTACAAATTTAGGGTGTTCCCACTGCTTGGATTAACTACAAACAAAATGTGTTCTACATTAAATGTAGTGACTCCCACATTAAATGCAACACTCTCGTACTAATAAATAATGCTTGGATTAACTCCCGGCTCTGACTATTGTCATTGTTTGTTTATTCTGACTCTTTCTACCCATTACATAAAGTTTCGAGTTAGACTCGAAACCTAGCTAGACAATTATCCAATTATCTCGTCATCTGATTAAAAGAATGGTAGCTTCAACTTGAAGAGAGACAAAGAATCCAGCTCAAGTTGAGGGTGGAAGATGGTGGGGGGAGTTTATGATAATGTAAATTAGAAAAGTGATGAGTGCAAACCATATATATAATCCTATGAATTTAAAAGAAAGGATAATTTTGCACGATGAAACATTTGTAGTCTTTAATGTGGGCAGCACTAGGAAAGTCTAGGGTTTCACATAGGTTGTGTGTTTAATATGGGATTTTCAATTGTTATCTCCATAAGGAAATTAAAACCCATCCCATTCACAAGTCTCCATCACAACTTCTGTTTACTTGTTCGCAACTAGTTTGGGTCTAGCTGAGATGAGGAAGAACAGGTGGCCCCCACCCTATCCTAGTCATCACATGGTGGGCCCGGAAAGGGGCCCCACGTGTTTATAATAATTTATCGCAAACATGTACTGTGGATTATATTTCAAATTAAAAAAAAAAAATGTACTGTGGATTACATTATTATACACTGATTTGATGATGAGGTGAGAAATACTATATATGTAGTTAAGTGATATTTTTTGCATGTATGCAACATTTTGTTCATGCTACATACAAGTGTATGCATGTATCTACTCTATCATAAAATATTTTTTTAAGTGTTCCAAATAAGATTCTCGAATTTTAAAAATAAGAACTAATTCAATCCAAATCCATAACGTGATATATATATATATATATATATATATATATATATATAATACGGATCAAATGCAGATGGTGTGCTCAAGTGCAAACGTGGGGTGAGATGAGAGTCATTGATCTTGTCAAAATTAACGTCTATAATTAACCAGGATTATAAAAAACGCGGTGACAATTTAATCTTTTTTCCATCTAGGTCAAATTTAAGATGCGTGGTTTTTGTGCTTAAGGTGCGTGATTTCTGTGTTGTGTGCTTAAGGTGCGTCAGTTGTTGAAACTTAAGTATGTCGGTCTAAAGCTTTAGGTGCGTGATTTTCCTTTTTAAGGTGTGTCAGTTGTTGAAACTTAAGGTGCATCCGCCTTGAGCTTTAGGTGCGTGGTTTTCCTTCTTAAGGTGCGTAGATCTAAAGCTTTAGGTGCGTGACTTTCTTTCTTAAGATGCGTTGTTTTCATTCTTAAGGTGCACCATTTTTTACAGTTTGTTTCTTTAATTGAGGATACACTTTTTTTTTTTTTTTTTTGCAATCCCAAAACACATGCAACCATTATCCTTTTTCAATCATGTTGCAGCAATCATAATAGAGATCAAGGGGAGTAGAATTGCTTATGAGTGGTCAATAGCATATCTTGAACAATGCTTTCTTTTTCTTTTTTTTTTTTTTAATTTTCATTGATTTGAGTCGTTGATCAAGATTTGAATTTTTCGTTAGTTTTGTGAAGCCAACAAAGAGAAAGATGGAGAAAAACAAATTACAAGGCCGCGAGCACCATCCAAATGTGCCCGCTAAGCACGCAAATCACTTGCACGCTTCTTTCTGTTTCACTAAGAAAAAATTCAAACCTTGCAGAATAATCATATCTACCTCTATCTTCTCTCCTTTTTCCTCCACCTCAACCTAAAACTGCAAAAAAAAAAAAAAAAAAAAAAAAAAAAAAAAAAAAAAAAAAAACCAATAGGATGCTCTTAACTCAAAGCAAAAACTCAAATGGGTAGCAAAACCAAAATAGCTTCTTCAAACCAAAAGATTAGATCAAATAGCTCATAAAGTGTGTTTCAAATCTACCCAAATTAAAGACCAAATGAAGCATAAATGAGTTAGTTTTAATGGAAACTATAGTGTAGAGTAGCATGGTTTTAGGGTGTGTATGTATATATGTTAGCCGTCTAGCTATAAGTTGTAGGGTTTATTGGTGGCAAAAGTAGACTTCTTCACAATAGTAAAAAGCAATTACATTACGCTACCAGTTACTTTCGAAAAGTAATAATTCATCTTACAATCCACAAAAAGAACCAAGTGAATAAAAATTTATCAGTTTTACTGGACTATATCATGAATCCTATGAATATGTCCCATAATTTATAAGACGATAAATCGAGTCAATTTAACTTCTAGACTCAATACGAAATTGTATACTTTCGCATACAAAGAGTCCAATCCAAATCTTCAATGTTCATGACAGGAATTTGAATTCTACCATACTACTAGAAACAAGTTTTAAATGAGACATTTCATCCACTAAATCAATAACCAATAAATTTCACCTACCAACAACCTGTAAAAAAAAAAAAATACCCCCAAAAAAAAATCTTTAATAAAAAGTAGAAAGAGTTAATTACTGATTTGGTCCCTCGACTATGAGGATTTCTCCAATCTGGTCCTTGACTTTCAAAATTTTCTCAATTTAGTCCCCGACTATGCCTTTTTTACCCGAAATGATCATAACCGTTAGACATCTATTAACTCGGGACCAAATTGGTAATTTTTCTATAGTCAAGGGACTATTTAGGTCATCACATGCACCATTTTCTCCGAAAGTTAATTACTAAAATGGTCCCTTGACTATAGCGAAATTACCAATTTAGTTCCGAGTTAACGGATGTCTAACGGTTCGAACCATTTCGGGTATTAAAAAAAAAACATAGTCAGAGACTAAATTGAAGAATTTTGAAAGTCGGGGACCAGATTGGTGAAATCTTCATAGTCGAAGGACCAAATCGGTAATTAATTCAAAGTAGAAATAACCTTAATAAAGGATTGAAATCATGACTCTAGCTTACAATCTAACAAGATATTTTAATCCTTACTTTACCAAAACATATAATCTCTATTTATTCTGTTACCGAACCATTGCGTTGACATACTGTTATACAAGTATAAAAATAAAAAAATAAAACTGTGTCTTCGTTATTAGCTATTATTTTTGACGTACTGGTAAGCTGTAATGATACACGTAGTTAGTGTTTTATCTTTGAGGCATCTTAATTAATTTTGTTCTACTTTTTAGAAACAGTGTGCAGTTAACTTTGTTATGTTGATCGGTTTATCTCTTGTGCTGCTCCTGCTGCCGCCGACAATCTTTTATTAGCTTGTTTTAAGGTAGGTGGAAACAGGTAGCACACCTGCCTGCATTTTTCAACATCGAGTTTACTCATTTTTGCGTTTAATTTGGGACTTGTTTCTTAGATATCAAACTATAACCATCTATTGTAAAATTATAAATTTGTACCATTTTTTCATAAGATATTATTACAGAGACCAAAATTTTCACTATTTGATGTGGTCCATGTAACAAGATACTTCACCATAAATACATTGTCCTAAAAGTTAAAAGTTATAATATTTATAAAACAACTCCAATTAAATTGGTTGGGCAGTTAGCTTAGTAACTCCTTATGAGAGCTATCTATTGACCTTCTTGATTTGAGTCGATTAGCAATAGACAACTTAGTCTAATTTATAACCTCATTGTAGTCTTATGCTGACTATGATTACAAGATGAATTTCACCCAAAACGCCCCTTCAAGTAGGGACTACAAACTTTCTCAAAAATGAAAGAAAAATAATAATAATAATAATAATAATAAACCACCCTTAAATACCTATAGTTGGTCCCAAGAATGGCAAAAATGTATGTATAATATTATAATGAGTAATGTTATGTATCTTTCCTAAAAACTTCTCTCTTAATTTTTTATTCCTGATGTGACACAATTTAATTAGATTATTTAACATTTAATTAAAAATATGTATGGTCAGTCAATTCATGGCACGATGACACCCAATGAATATAAATCATATCATGGAGGAAAAAGATTAGGAAAAATTTAGGAGGGATAAATGACGTTTTCCTACTATAATATAACTACTTTTCTTTAATGTATTTGCTTTACCAAATTTCAATGAGCGATTAAATATAACTTAAAATTGTGAAGAACTCACCCTAAAAAAAGAGAAATGATAAAGGCACCCCCAAAACACAATGTAGAGTACCATATTTTTATTTCCAACTTACCAAAAGCCGTCATCCCATAATAGTCTCATAGAGGTATTCTCACCCCATAAAACCGAATTCAACTTGATTTACATTTAAACCAAATTCAACCTAAGTTGTTTTAATTCTTACTTTTAGGGAAAAAAAAAAAAAAACACTTGGTTCAGAACTCGTATATCATGTGTTCTATACTTTAAAACACAAAACGAACAAAATTAATTGACCAATTTCTTTTGAAAATTAAAGTGGCTCATGGGTTTGGTCTGATAATACGCTACCCAACCAAAATCACAAATGATGACATTAAAGATCGCCAAGAGTTCCTCCCCCTAATGCACTACCCACACACTGTAAAATTGGTTGAAAAGACAAATTACATGATTTATTACAGAGAAAATTGTAGTAAATAAAAGCTAAGAGGAATTAAAGGTTTGTAAAACTGACTGAAAAAAAAAAAAAAAAAAAAAAAAAAATCACAACAGATATAATATAAACCAGCAATACAATCCGGGGGGAAAAAGAAAAAAGAAAGAAAAAACTCATCCTTTCATGTTCTCCTAGATTCTAATTGTAGAGTAGGAAACAGCTGAATGATTTGTATAAGCAATACAATTGAGTAAAAGCTGCACTTATCTGGTCTGGGCTGGAGAACAAAGTAAACCTGATGCATCTGCTCCGACCACTGCAAGGTCACAAACGGTACAAAGCTGCCCCTCTTGGGATGGAACAAAATGAGTACAGCAGTAAGGGCAAGTGACGTCTTTTTGACCACGGTAGATAGGGACATAGGTTGCGCCACAAGTGACGAAAGGATTTCTGAAGTCATAATTCAGCTGTGCAGTATCGCGCATATTTTTCTCTGCAGCCTGGAGAACTTGCCGTGCTAACTTGGCCTGGCTTTCGACGGTTGGGTTGGTCTCCAAGAGTCGCCTAGCAAAGTTGGCAGCTGTGATCATGTTACCAGCCTTGTAGCACACAGTCATGGCATTTTGCAATGCGAGTCTCAAGTGGGGAGTCTGAAGGTTACAGTGGGTGAAGTAGGCTGCCAATTCCTGCTGACGAGTAGGGTTGTCCTTCATTTCCTTTCTCTTGATTTCCATTTGCAAACCCACAACATACTCCTTCACAATTATTACCAGTTCCTTGACTTCATCCACCTCTCGTCGTGATTCAACAACAATCAGGGGAATGGTATGGAGGATGCCCTGGAAAGTTCGAAGAGCCTCAGCGAATTTCCCTTGCGTTGTCAATTTGTAACCGGCTTTAAGTTTCTCTTCCAACAGTGAAAAATTGAAGACTAGAGAAGGTGGACGCCGCACATTAGGGCTTGCAGATTCACTCCAACCTCTCTCGAGAGCCACTGAAATCACTGGTGTTGTTGAGAGGGCAAGCAAGTATGTATGGCTGCCAACATGAAGATCAATAAACAATTGCCTTAGAGGAGTAAAGTTCCTAATTCCTAGTTGTCGGTTCAGCAACCGCATTGCAGTGTCAAAATTGCCAGCAGCCACATGCTCAGCAGCAAGAGATGATTTTTGCACCCAAATCTGGCTCACAGGCATGCCAGGGGTTGGGGTGACAAATACCGAACGTGCATTAGGAACATTCTTTGGTGTTTCACTTTCAGGTGGCAGCTCCAGATCCTCAAGGTCCCATCCTCCTTCATCTCCTTCCTCATGAGCTTCCTCATCTTCCACCACCATACTGACATCACCATTCTGCAGATTATCCTCTTCACCAACATCCAATGTCTCACCCCAATCACCATCCACAGCTTCTTCATCGTCCTCCCTGGCATCCCTATCTCTAATGTTTAGTGCACCTTCAAATATGCCTTTTGACACCATTAACAGAGGCCAATCTCCGCCACCCGAAATAGGACTAGCAGGCATCAAAAGAGAAGCTGTCTTCTGCTTTGGCAAAGATGGGACATTATCACCAAGTTCAGATGCAAGACGCTCAGCAATATCACTGAGCCCATGGACTGATGCAGTGATGTAAGCAAGGGGAAGATGACCAGCATTCTCCAAAATCTTGATGCGCTCACGAATGTCTCCAAGGTACAAAGCATTGTGGAACTGACCCATCACTTCATTTTTCACCTCAGCAATTTTCATCATCTTAGATAACTTCTCCAGATTCCCAGTTATCAGATAGAGGAATGACAGCCTCTCAAAGTTCTTTGTTTTCTGGTATGCATATTCAACAATGCCAGCATTACCCTGCCGAAGGGCCTCCACCCCCAACCTATACCAGTGATCTTTCTCATCTATTTTTTTAGCAGATTCAAGTGCAATCTCAATATTCCCACTTTCAAGTGCTAAGTTGAAGCGGGTTCGCTCATCTTTCACAAAATGGAGGGCAACTTCTGGAAATCCCTTCTGCTGCAAATATGCAATCATGGCTTGCCCACAGAGTTCTGAGTTCCTTATCATGCTCATAACTTGGTCATATCTCTTCTTCATCAAAGAGAGCTTAAAAATGTACTCAGTCGAATCAATGATAATTGGGCGGTTCTTTCCATCTCTGTCCAAACAAAAGATTGTGTTCCCATAAATTTTTGTTATATACACTGGTACATCTAAGGTCTTAATAATTCCATTATCCCCATTGGGAAGGCAATACTTAATGTGGGTCAGCGTTGCATATATGAAAACCCCATTGTCATCCCAGGTTCCACTCTTGACACGAATAGTCTCATGAAGGGTGCAGCGCTGCACCAGCTTCTTATCAGCTATGACAATAGAATGCTTGCTAAGCAAAGCAACACTCTCCATGTCTTGTGACCACACAATGTACCTAATAAAAGGAGTTTGAAGATCTCCAAGAACAATTCTCTGTTGAAGATCAAAAATCATCACCCTGTCCTCTGCTCTACACAGTAAGTTTCCAGTACCAGCATAAAATATTGCATCAGTGGCCATAGGAAGAACACTTTTCTTAACAATTTCATTTTTCAAATTTTTTACAAGAACCTGATTGGTGCTTTTCTCAAGAACTGCAAACCTATTTCGAGCAACAAAAATTGCTGATCCTCCAACTCCTCTTTTAGCATCTTGCACTGTGTCACCCCTCCCAAAGCTATCTTTGGGCACAATATACAGTTCATAAGAACCCCCATCCACATCTGAACATATTAAGACAGCATTTTCACTAGGACTGTAGGAAAGGGTTCGTGGACTTTGATTCAAGCCGTTTGAACCAGGCCTACGAATAGGTACCAGCTGTGTATCTTTCTGAGTTGAATACTCATAGACTCGGAGGAACCGGTCTTTGACATAAAAGAGAGAATCACCACTAACGGAAAAAGCAGGGCGTTCTCTCTCCAACTTGAAGACTATCATCCCACTGTCGTGACCTGCTGCTAAAAGATTCATCTCTGGATGAGATGCAAGGATCCAATACCTGTCATGCTCCCTACGAAAAGTCTGAAGACCAGTCCTTTTTGTAGCATCCCATACACGAATGCTCTTATCCTCTGAATTTGAGACAATAATATCTTGTCTTGCATGAAATAAAACACATGAAACATTGTTCATGTGCCCCCTCAATGTGTCCACCTCCCAAGCTTTCGTATCTACGAATGCAGAATACAGCAATCACAAAACAATTGAAGTCTAGAAATATATTCTGCAATCACAAAACAATTGAAGTCTAGAAATATATAGCAGTACAATACTATTCGAATAAAGGCCAACAGAGGATATTGACAACTACATCGTCAACAATTCTAAATTTCTAATTGTTGACAACGAACACTAAGATCTGTTGGTTTTCCAATAAGTTGTATGAATGACAAACCAGTCCCCTATACACATGCTAAATTAAAATTTAAGACGTAAAAGAAATTCCACATGTCCTACAGGAAGCCATTTCATAACAATTAACAGAAGAATAGCTTATACACAATTTAGTCAAAACACCAACAAAAAAATTGAAATTCTAAATAGTAGTAGAAAATATAAATTTAAAATATTCACAAACAAAGCAAATTTCCTTAGCTGTACAAATGTGAACTTCTATGAAAAAACTCAAAAAGAGACATTTTTTATTTTAACAAAACTCTACAACTCTATAGACTTTAACTTATACATCTTGGCCCCCCTCCACTACTTCACCTTTTAATAATGTTTTCATAAATCGATCTGTCTCTTTTCATCTTTGCTCATCAAACCCTTACCAAACCACATTCTAAACTTCCACATCACATCATTTTCCAAAATAACTCCTGATCAATATCATAAATTTCATGAATGAGCAGGAGAGTAGTTCTATAGTTCTACTAGCTTAATGAATAATTGAAACTGTTGCATGAGTGGCAACCAAATTTAAATTACATAGTATTCCAAAGCATGGAACCAAAAAACTGCTGTTGATAAAAATTAAATAATTTAAAAAGAAAATGGTAAGGAAAAGCCATGCACACATAAATGTTGATACCAAACAGAAGACAAACTGTGCACAGGGCATACCATTCATTCGCCAAATTTTCACTTGGCGATCATCAGCACCAGAAACAATTAGGGGTAGTGTTGGATGGAAAGAGGCCCAATTAACACCTCTATCATGGCCTTCTAAGACATACTTCACCACAGCATCAACCCCACCAAAGAAATCTGCATTCATCTGACTTAACCGCAGGATGTCATCAGCAGGGGAAACTGTTTTCTTTCTCAGGGCACCAATATCCCAAACCCGAATTGTCTGATCCAAAGATGCTGAGACAACCAAATCTTCTTTGGGATGAAATGAGGCACACATCACATAATGGTTGTGACCAGTCAAGACAGAAATACATGTACGAGACTGCCAATTCCATATCCTGATTGTCTGGTCATCACTTGAACTAACAATCCAGGGGTATTCGTGATGAAATTGAACAGTCCGAATGTAATCAAGATGACCAAGGAGGGTAAACAGACACCTATGCTGCTTGTAATTCCATACCTTAATTTTATAATCATCACCTGGAATATAACAAATCCAAATACACCTTTAAAACAATATTAAAAAAAAAACAAAAACAAAAAAAAAAAAAAAAAAAAAAAAAAAAAACAATGTTCAAGGTATGGCAAATGCAAACTGAAGGAAAACACTCAACGATGATCAGCACATATAATGAAGCATCTGACCTGATTCATCTATTATTGACTGATCCTTTACACAAAAAGAATATATCACTAAATTCATTTCAAATATTCAATTAAAAAAAAAAAATCATTCTCAAATGTACTTTGCTTCCATTAGTTGAGCAATGAGCAACAGATATACAACACACACAATTAACAACAGTAGTCTAATATGATCCGTAGAAACGAAAGAGCAGATTGTTTAACATATCAGATATACTAGCACTGCCGCAGCACATAAACACATCAATCACGGTTAAAATTTCACTAATTGAACGAAACTAACAAACAACATCAATTTCCAGATTACGCCTATAACAATCATAATTCAAAAATAAAAATTAAAAAATAAAAAACATCAGTAGATCCACACTGAACGGAAGTCTAACTAACTGC